GTCGACCACCCGCTGAGTGCTCAGCGCGATTACCCAGTGAAATAAACGGAATATGGTTGGCGTTTTTTGCTCGAACGGGCCCTATGTTTTAACACTTGACTGAACTACATTTAAAAAAGAATCCTAATTTAAATCCAAAATTACATAAAACAATTTTTTATTATGAAGGAAAAAGCAATTATTATGTTTATATAAAAGGAAGTCATAAAAACAATGTTTTTCTAATATCGTTCTTGGAGAAAAACTGAACCAACATCACTTAGAACTGATGCATTATTAATTAATAATATTGACATGAAACTTCAATTACCATTGCAATCTTAAATCCAAATCCTGGTTCCCCTAGAAGGTTTTCTTTTGGAATTCTGCATTCTTCAAAGATGAGGTAGGTTGTGGAAGTTGCTCGGATGCCCAGTTTATCCTCCTTCTTGCCTAGCGATAATCCTTCAATAGGCTTTGGAACGACGAAAGCACTAATACCCTGTTAATAACAATAATAGTAATAATAATAAGACTTATGAAGGAAGGTCACAAAAACTACTGTAAACCCAAAAGCTACAACAGACAATAATAAAGCAATAAATGGTGTCCCAAGTTGGAAGAACCCATGATTCCAAGAGAAATCTAGTTTATTCAATGAGCTTTCTTAACACATCTAATTTTATTTTGCAATGCATGGTGATTATCAGCTCACTTCCAGGAACCAATTGGAAATACAGTAGGAAAAACTTGTAGATATAATGAATTTTCAAAAGATGGGTTAGATTCCAGGAAAAATGTAGATATTCCGGAGAATCCCACAACTTGCGGGATGGAGCCTTGAGACCCCTACTGTACAAAAAAGTGCAGCATTCAACTATTGTGTTGCGGTACAGTTGTTGAAATGTATATATTTGAATCAATCACGCCCATATTAAGCATGTAGAATTTGCAATTGTCAAAATGTAAAATGTGTGTGAAATGAGCACTTGATAATTAACAAATAATTAAATGGAGATGAATACAAAGAATGTAAGACTTCTTCACTATATCATTAGCATCATTACATTTAAAAAGGAATACAACATTGATTTAATTTTGTTTCTCAATACGACCAAAGCTGGTAAAGTCCACGAAAATCCCAGTCCCAATGTGGTCCTTAATTTGAGGAAGACCTGTATTCAAATTTAAAATTTGCCATTTTGAAATAAAGGGGGAAAATAATGATACGATCCTTTACCTTGTGTTTTAAATTTTTATCTGTTGTGGCAAATACTACAGCTGCCTCAGACTCGAAACCGTTGGTGATCCATGCTTTCGTACCATTCAAGACCCAATGGTCTCCATCAAGGTGTGCTGTCGTGGAAGCTGCACCTGCATCGCTGCCATTACCTAGAGAAAGAAAAATGTGTGCGGACTTGTCCCAATGATGACTAAGTAACAACATCTTAAGGGCAAAGTAAGCCTATCATCCAATCAAAATAATAGAATATAAAACACATACATACAGCTTTAGTATTGTATTACTGTACCTGGCTCACTTAAACCAAAGCAACCGACACGACTTCCATCAACAAAAGGTGTTACGTATTTTTGTTTTTGTTCTTCATTTCCATATGTCATAATTGGTGCTAGATATAAAGACTATAAAGAAAGCATAAAGAAATACTGTAGTAAGCATATCTATAATCTATTATGCTATGGTTTGTTTTGTACTAGCTATATATTATTATAGAATATATCTTGAGTTTAAAATGCTTTTCCTTTTTAGCTGTGTTTCAATTATTTTTCATATATTAATAAATAGTCCTAACTGCCAATGATATATACGGTAATGGCACTGAGAATAATTTAATTAAAACTTCAATATATACAGTAGTGGTGTAAGACAAATATAATATAAATAATATATATAAACTAGTAGGCAACTTTCTTAACTAAATGTAATTAATTGAAACACTAAATAAACAAACAAATAATAAAATACATAAAATGTTACATCTCTTTTTCTTTTGTTTTGTAAAAACTAAGTAATTGATGCAGGAAGAGAGTTCCAAAATCCTTAAAGATAAATGTAATGCTATTTTATATGGGGGAAGGATTATGATTTAATACATATAAAATGTTCATATTCTTAAAAGGTCTCTTTACTGATCAATATCATTTAACGGACATGACAGTTGCCATGGGCTAATTAAAATATGATACATACATACATGCAAGATATGTTTTAGGACATGAAAAAAAGGATATACTTTGTCAATGCTTACTTTCTTTAATCTTATAATTTTTAAGCCAGTTAAAATGGTATCAAATGTAGGCCTACTCACACCAGGATTAAATGCTGCCATACTAACCTTTTCATGAAAAGCCATTTTGGTTCAACGTGTCTGCATTCCAGGAGATTGTAGAAGAGAAGCCCTTACAGGGATCTGGAGGTAAAGCCCCTACAACTGAAGCATTCCAGCATTCTTTTTGCTGGGTTTTTTTATGCAAAGGAAGAGGGTGGTTTAGTTTATCACTCAGAAGGGGGTTCCCACAAAAGAGGGTTACAGGCATGAAAGTTCACTAGGAACCAATGAGATAATCTATTTACAAACAGCAAACTGACTATTATGTAGAATCAAAGTATTAAATGAACTTACCTTTTGGGGAGGCTGGACACAGTTAATGCAGACAAAAATAATTTAACCTTAACCTATCAATCTTTATACTTACAATGTGGGCACTTAAGATAGTTCCTGTAGATGCACACCCCCTGCTGATTTCCTCCATAGCTAGAGCATATGACATGGCATCTAAACCAGCTCCACCATACGACTCAGGTACTAGAATTGCCATCAGGCCTAGATCACCCATCATCTTAACCTGACCATAGCCAAGTAGAATTTGATGTCATAATGCTAAAAGGCTGCACTAAGCATGCAAACCAAGCACAGAGGGAAGTAGGAGGTTGAAGATCAAAGCTGGTGGACAATAAACCTTCTCATAATTTCAATTGTGCATGCTTATTTCAGGCATATACTGCAGTCAATCACATGACTTATATTATGATTATCACCTGAATTTTTATAAAACGTTATATAGTTTATCCAAGGACTGCAAACAACCTTTTATTGCTGGTTAATAAAAACTTTTAAAAAAAACAATTGCATATCTCATATGATTTGCATGTGCTTTGAAATTTTACACAGGCATGCGCACTTGAAAGTAGGAGTAGTATTGAAATTCTGTAAGCATGACAGTGACTGCCAATCAGCACTCAATGTACTGCATCGGCATAAACAAGATATGAGCTGCTCACAAAGAGTCAGGAAGTATATAATATTAGCAAATTGGCAGAAGTAATTCAGAAGGACTATAAAAGCAAGAATGAGTGAAGCAAGTATTAGTGCTGTAATTCTCCAGTACATTAATCTATGCCAAATCCTAAATCCTTCATTTACTATTATATATACTCATAGACTGCCATTCCTGCTCTACCATTATTCCTGCACTAACTACACCATAACATTTGCTCTAACTGCCTGGCCTATCATCCTTTCTAGACAGACGTAAACTGCTGCAATCCTATTCCATCTGTCAAATCTTGCTGTTACAGTAGACTGCCATTACTACTGCTTGACTGCTATAACTCATTAGCCGCTCTCAACTACAGCGTGCCATCATACTTTCTGGAGACTGCCATCTGACATTCCAAACCCAACTGCCATAAATCTTGCTGCTAGTCTATTTAGCGTAAGGGCCTACAAAAAAATTTATTAGTTTATCACCCTATCAAAGAATAAAAACTGATGAGGGAGGGAGGGTTTTTTTTTAGCTAACCCCGCCCCCATTTTACCAATATTCACAAGTAAATCAATGGTTAGGGGCATATATAAAAAGTCATAAGAATGGAATCAAATTTATATTTTAAAAATATGTTTTTGTTGTCCCAGTAAACATATTTGCAAGAAATCCTGAGCTTTTTAAGTGAAAAAAGATGGAGAAACGACCGTCTGAAATAAAAATATATGTTGATTGAAAAAAAAAAATCAGAATTTCCCCAAAAGTAATGAGGGAGGTGGTGATAAACTAATAATTTTTTTTATGGGGCCTAATCGGCTCTTAACAACACCTCTCCTTACAGTGCCATCATACTTGCTGGAAGAGACTGCCAACATTCCCATTCCAACTGCCATCAAATACTGCTAGTAAAATTCCATTACTCCTGCTAGACTATTCCTGCTCTAACTACCATCAATCCTACTCTATACAACTTATTTTTCTTTGCAAACTGCCATGATCATTCAATTGTAAATCATATTGTCATTAAGCCAAATACAAGCAATTTATTATTATTTACAAACCATCAGGCAAGAACTTGTGAGAGCATACCATGATGATTATGGTGATGTGTGGTAGTGATCATGGTAGTAGTGGCGGATCCAGGAAGTTGAAAAAGAGGGGGAATTTCACTGATGGAGGGTCTATACAACCTCAGTCCTACCATGGCTGGGGTAAGGATGTAAAGATTTTAATGATAATGATAGTGTTGATGATGAAAATTATGAATGATAGTAATCGCCAACAGATTTAACAGATAAAATATATTTACTGAGGCTAAAGTAAACATCTACAATTCTCTTTCAGTAAAGGTCAGAGTCTTCTTCCACAGTTAGACTTACATTATTTACACTCATTATAACGCCACAACTAGCACACCCTCTACTGATCTCTTCAATAGCTATTGCATACGCCAAATAGTCTAAGCCTGTTCCACCATATTGATCTGGTACATCAACTGCCATTAATCCCAGTTCTCCTAATTTCTTGACCTAATGGAAGAGATGATGAAATGCAAACAGAAATGTGAAATTATTTCTAGCTATGAGAATTAAAGAATTGTTAATTAATCAGCACTGAAATGGTACAGAAGATAATTAATGTTACATTTTTAGCATAGACCTACTAACCATTTCTAAACAAATCTTGATCCTAAAAAAATACTCAAACATCAATGGCCACATCAAACTCCAAGTCAAAATCAAACTTTATAAATTATTGTAACTACCCAATCTAGTAATATTTAATACTAATCATTTTAATAATATATTCCTACTAAATCATCCTTCATCATGGTTTTAATATTTCTACAGAAGTAAGTTTTGCATGATTGATGAAATTAGTTGAGAAACAATGCAGTTTAAGGAAAAAGAAATGAGAGTACAGTAGTGTAAAGTAAAAATCATGCACACATATTCAATTATTCAATTAATAACAATTATTAACAACACTGATAATAATAATAATTTAATCAAAAATAATATTAAAACATATAGAAATATTGATAAAAATAATATTTTTTTCTCAAATATTAAGTACCATATTTATTAAAATAATATCGGCCAAATGTGACTGGCTCTGGCAAAACCAAAAGAAAATCAATATTCAGTTTTAGGTTTTGTAGATTTCTGTAAATTCTTATTTTAAATAGTATATTTGCTGGAAATTGGTTTAGTATTAGCAAAGTTATGAATACAAATTCATTTAATATCAGCCATGTAGGTTTTGAGAAAACAACTTCCAAAGATTCCAAAATCAATAGTTTAATTATTATTATTATGATTTATATTTTTAAAATAATTTTAATATACTTTTGTCTTAGATATAGTAATTGATATTTTGCAGAAATGCTCTTCAATATAAGCATCTTTTACAAAATGCAAAAAAACCTGAAAATCCTGATTTTCAAACATTTTGGGTGCTTGTGTGTAATTAGAAAATGTGACAAACGATGGGTTTTGCCAGAGCCAGTCACAAATTATAAAATGCACAACACCTTTCACCCCGGTCATTGAATCACATACCTTATGGAACAATCCTCAGCTCCCTGAGGAAGAATCCCATGAAGACTGCAGGCTCTGGTAATCAGTGCAGTAAAGTGTCCAAACACCCACCAAGTACCCAAATACACCAGTGTGGAGATAGACAACCTTAGGCAAAGTGCCTTTTCCAAGGTTACAAGAGAAATGCACAGTGAATGGGTCGAACCCCTGACTTCAAGATTGCGAGAGAAAACATGCTCATATTTGTTCATTTATTATTCCATGCAAATGGGCCAAAATTTGTGTAGCACAAGAAAAACTTATACACATGACAATAATAATTTTACTTTCCAAAACAAATTTATAACATCACTGTTATCATTGTTCATCGGGTATGAGCTCACTTCTGGCATAAGCACACCACCAATTTTATGGACAAGCTTTTAATGGGGTAAAAAACAAGGGTATGACTTTTACAAATATTCTCAGAATGGCTTTGAATTAGTCATGTGCTGATAAATTACCATTTGATTAAAAAGAGGATTCACCGGGTATCAGCCCACCCCCAAATTTGGCCCAATTTTGTGTTGAAGTGGATTGGGGGAGGGGGGATTATACCAGAGGAACTATGTGGTAATAGCAATAATAATAATAAAATAATAATAATAATAATAATAATAATTTGGAATGTTTATATGCATACAAACCTGTTCTTTTGGAAATCGATGTTCTTTGTCTAATTGTCCTGCAATTGGTGCCAGTTCATTGTCAGCAAAGTCTCTACATGTTTTCCTTAGCATCTCATGAGTCTCAGACAGAGCTGCCAAACTATGTGCTTTACATATTGAAGATCCTGAAAGTAGGGATTCACAGCATCCACACATTGAGTTATATCACTCTGATTTTACAGTTACTTAATTAAACACTGCAGTGATCCATCATTTAATTGTCTCTAAATGAGAATAAAACAAAAGTTTTATTTCATTTATAACTTGTCTGTAACTTGCCTGTATCTTCTGGCTGGTAGAAAGTATTAAATGTTTATACAGTAAATTATATAGCCCACTTGCAATAAAAATACAGGTGGAATTAATTTTAAATTTACATCTACAGATACACAGAATAATTAAATGGATGATTTCTCCATTTCTCATTAAGCTGAAACTTAAGCCAGGTGTCAAGTGATTTGGGCAAACTGTTCCACAGGCAAAGGAAAACAATGTTTTTTTGTACCTAGTCTGAAAAAAAATATTATTCTCTTATAAAACGCAAAATCTAAATAAATCTAACAAATTTAAAATTTCATTCTCTACAAATTTCCTCAGTAATTAGCAACATGTTTTTGAGGAATAAGTGAAGCTATGCATTTGTAATTACACACTGATGAATCCAATGACATTCAAATCCGAATTAAATGTCTACTGAAAAAGAGTCAGCCGTCATAGAAACTTGCTTTGAGTTGTGTCTTCATTTCAGGTTGATTCCAATCGATTTTTAAGGATTAGGCCAAAGTGCGATAATGCACTTTATTAAAACAATGGAAGGCGTAACTTTCACTCTAACATTAACGTTTCTCTGGCATGTCGTTTTAATCAATAGAAAATCTCTATGGCAACGCTATTGAGACTGCTGTACGAATGGTATATTCACAGGGTGTTGTGCTAGGCCTAGTTGTTAATTCTTAGACAGGAATGATTATTGCGTTCATTCGTCTGGAAATCATTGTTTATTAACCGTTTATTTGGTTTATAGAAGTTGATTTTTGTGTTCAGGACCGAATAAAACATCCTGAATTCGGAATAGGGAGATCCGGTTTTCGGAAAGTATTTTATTAAAGGAAGAATAGGAATCATTTTGGGACTTGAAAAAAGGTTTGGTTTAGCGTGATATTCGGTTTCCTGGGCATTTGGAATTCGGAGATTCCACTGTACCATAGTTTCATTCAATGGGGCCCTGACAGTTTTAAACAATAAAAGCTTGGTTCTGATGTTTGACATTTGTTTTTAATTTTGTGATCAATCTTCTTTGCATTACGTTATGAAAACATGTTTTTTTCTCACTAAAATTTGTATTTATACTCCTACATAGAGTACATAGGCCTACTGTAGCTAGCCCTATACCAGTCCCGAAAGTTGGCCTATGTATTGTTGGTTTTGTATTAGAATGGTCTGAAATTTTTCATCAGTCATGGACCATTCTATGTTGTCTGTTAACTCAGTTAACAGTTCATAAATGACATAAGCTGTGAGAATGAAAGCTCCCTCGGACCCCCACAAGGGGGCTTTCACCCCCTGGATTCCTACCGTGGGCCCTATGCGTCCCCTTGGCCCCCAGCGTGTTTCCTTGCTTCGCTCACTTATTAGAGGTCCCCAGTAACAGTCAGCGCCAGGGCTCCACAAACTCTGTGATGCTAATGATTGTTTACTGATTTGTTTACAGTCACGTAAATATATCCACTTCCATAAATTAAAGTGAGACTCAATCAATCAAAATAAAAAAAATAAACCAAAATGTTTGACAAGGTCTATATATGCTAGGCCTAGGCCCTATAGCATTTTTAGCACTGGGCGGCTTGAGTTGTTCTGCACTCATGGGGAAAAATACGGGTAGGCAGGACAGTGGTGTTTATGTGCTGATGTAGCCTTGAAAGAATTGTGTGGGTAGGTCCAAGACCAGGCAGAGCTAGGCCTAGCATATGTATTGTTATAAAATCCCTAGATTAGACTAGGCCTAGGGAGGCGAAATTGAGTGTTGACAGAGAGTGTGATACATACAGGACAGGCAGGCCTTCATATCATATCGGTCGGGCTAAGTAAGCTACTTTCATATACATATAATTAAGGGTATACAACTCAGTCTACACTTCAGTTAGTTAGGCACAGTTCACTTAAAAAATGGGAACTAACCTGAAGAACCAACTTTTGCTAATAGAAGTTTCCTCGAGATCTTCTGTAATGTTTTCGCTGCAGCTGCTGCCATGTTGATTTTTGATATACGCCCTCTCATGACGAACTTATTGTATTACCGGTTCCCGGACATAAACTAATTCATTTTTCCTTAGACCTGGTTTGTGTTGACAGTCTAGATAAATTTACTTTAGTGTACTTATTACTAACCAGTGTAATAACACAATATACTTTACTTGTATACATAAATTCATATTATTACAGAATCTAGAGCAGAAGTTTGAATTTTTGGGATTCATTAGGTCAAACTTGTAAGTTTGACCAATGGTCAATGTTTTATATTTATTAACACCTATTTACCTTCTTTGTTCTAGGGACACATTGTTCCAAATACAGTACAGTTTACTTGTCTATATGCATCATTAAAACTGAAAATATAGCCTATACGTAGACCTATCATGAGTTTACACTTTTATGTAATGTTTTGTTCTAGGTGAGCTTAGTGTTAAGATATAGGTTGTAAGCTAGTATTTTGAAAAACTGGTCTCGATTACGGGTCTCTCGGAATTAGAGAAGGGTTTCGTTTGGAAAGATGTGTATAAGAGACAGGTCTTAGATATAGTAATTGATATTTTGCAGATTTATTATATTTTATGACAGTATTTGGTTCGAGAGACAAATGCACAGCTAAAATGGACTCTTGGCCTACAACAAAAATAGATATATTTATATTTGATGAAATAGAATAGAATATAGTTATTTCATATATGTCTATAATATAAACATTTGTACAGTTGAAATTTAATGGGCAATAAAATATAGTTTAATGTGGTATACACAGAGATGACATTAGGCACATTAAATCAAACAAATAAATAAAAACACATAAGTATGCATTTTCTTATAAGATAATATTAAATATGAAAGAAATAATGAAACTGGAAAGAAAATTTGACGACTTTCTTCCCCATTAATTTGTTCAATTCGTTTTCTCATGATTCTTTGAAGTCGTCGTTCGCCGTTGACTGCGAGTAGCCCCCCCTCTTGATCCTCTGTCTTTTTCAAACTTGGGTCCGTAAGTCACTTAAATTGTTGCGGTATAGCCTATATGCGCCTAGTTTTAGCTTTGAGGGTTTGAGAGTTAACAACTAAGCCCATGAGGTAAAAAAAAAGTTTAAGACATGGCACCTCTGGTTCACAAAAATAGCACTCTCATAAGTCATAAGTTAAATTTCATTCAACCAAGCTCTTATTTAATGTTTCTTCTTTTTTACAATGTGAATCCATGAGACAACATTAAAATGTCCTAAATACAGGAAATGTCTTTCAGCAGCCTAGCTTCACGATCGGTGGACATGCCTTGACTCAACTGAGAAACACAACGGAAAGCACTCATCAGTTGACAAACTTCACCGAGTTTAGTCAGATTTTATTGCTTCGCGTTTAATCCATCAACAATAAATTCATTTTTAATCTTCTGATATCTCCCAGTTTTTAAAACCTGCCACCCGTTTCTAGACCGTAGGGTAGTTCAGAAACAGCTGATTTAAGGTGGACGCGCAGCATTGTACCAATCGCAAAGTGGAGAACTCCGAATGTATGCAGATACATACGTCAACTCAATACAGTATACTTTCTTGAGGAAAATTTACGTAGCTACTAGCTTTGTCTACGGAATTCACTGAACAGCGTCAATTTCCCTTAAGTTGTAGTTTAACGGTTCTTCACAGAGTGTACATAGTTCACCAACTTCCTTTATACATTCCACGCAGTACATTCCCTTACAGTCTATAGTCTCACACTGGTGGAATTTGTCTTCACTCTCCTCTGAAGCACAGCCTATACATACACGATCCTTGCGACACATAATTCGACGACAGCAAGCGTTGTTAGCAGTAAGCCATGATGAGAAACTGATGTGTTCCATCGCCCTTTGCTCTCTGTCGTTCTCTTTGATAAGCTGCTGCAACATATCCCGAATTGTCTTACGTTTCTTAAGAGTCTGACTGTACAAATAGTTTATACGTTCTCTTTCTCGTTCCGGATAATAAAACGAAGCAATGCATCGGCGTAGCCTTAAAGCATATGCTTGAAACAACACCATTAATATGGCAACACCATACAACGCACCGATGATTATATTATTTCTTTCGTCTGGTCGTTTAGGGACAGGCAAACATTTGTTAGTGGCAGAGGTTGAGTTGTGTTCATTATTGTTCTGAAAGCCATCTCCCAACAAAGCTCTAGCAAAGTTAGAGAACATGCCTGTTCCCCCGATGTCCATCTCAGTTGTTCCTTCTCCTGTCAGCTCATACTCCACCTGACCATGCCTAGAGATTATATCAAGTAACCAGAACAACCCATAATCAACAAGTATAATAAGTCCAGCAATAAGAACATACATTAAAATAGTTACTAATCCTAAGGCGAATGTCCCACGCTCAACTTTTGACAATGCTAGTGTTTTTAAGTCTATAAGTTTGCCACGTTCTATCTTCTTCAATGGTAATATTGATTCCTTTCCACTATCTGTTCTTTTTTTATCAAGTTTTCTAAATTGTTTCGTGATGTAGAAGTTATCAAATCTATCCTTAGTTAGATATAGTTTGTGATACTGGTAGGCTCGATAAAGAAGGTAAACGACGGAGAGGGCAAGGAGACGATCGGTAAATAAGACAGCAGTGTCGAACAAGTTGAAAGTTTCTTCGAGTTCTGATTGAATTGCTGAAGCGATTCCGGCAGCAGATCTGCTTGAATTCCTCCTAGAATCCCAATATACATCAAAATCGATATCTGTGTAGAACATCTCTTCTATCTTCTCCGCAATATGTTCGGTAGCCTGTCCGACTTCATCTATAACAGCTCTTCCAAATTCGGGTGCCCTGCAAACTTTGTTTCCAAAGGTGATGATCTCGCAAAGAGGATCAATATCGAGCGGTTTGCATAGGTCGCCGGCTAGAAAATTATAAAAATAATATAAATTTATAGAACTCTATAATTTTATTAATATAAAAAGAGTCAATGAAATAATTATAACGTTTTTAAAAAAAGTAATTTTATAATCGAATCAATTTTATAAATTAAAACAAAAATAACATACCAATATTCAATTAATTAAATGGACAAGTACAATTACAAAACAAATACCACACAAAAATTGAGACCGGTGGAACCGAGAGAACACTGGCAGCCCTTTAAATATACTGTATTCAATTGTTTAATTAATTCCATATAATAACCAAGGTACTAAGAGTAAGAATAGTTAAGATTAGCGAGTACTCACGTATCAGACATTGGCCTTAATATAGAAGAAAGTCGTACATAAGACTTGAAATCTGTGAGTTGTGTAATTGGTAAAGTATGCAGAATGTTAACTGGAGAGATCAAACCAAGACATTGAGTATAGTTCAGAGACAACATTGTAGAAGGTCAGAAAAGAGTTGTTAGATTAACACATAGGACGTGCGAAAAAAGAAGCTAAGGTAAAATGGTCTTTGTAATCGTCTTGTATTTTCAGAGGACAATCATTCCTCTTGCTACAATAACCAGAAGAATCTCTGTGTAGACAACCTATTCTTTACTTACGTATTTTAGTTTTGCTCAATTTCTTTAAACAATTTTCATAAATTCGGTTCAAGACAACCTTGCAGTCGTTATATGCTACCTCCATTATACTTGTGCACGCATCTGCAGCATCTGATAAAACCGCACTTGCTGTCTGATGAAAGACGAAAGGAAATCCCATTAGGGAAAAGTAATGTTGTTATTATCTTCATTATGTCATAGCGTTTCTATTCAATATGAATAGCCCTACTGTTAACCATTCACTACAAGAGTAAATGTCTTTAAACCCTCCGCGAGTGCACGTCACGGTCTGCATTACAGTTCATATTGTAGTTGTTGCTTGAAGTCACGAAAAGGCACAATATCTAAGTAATTTATACCGTACTTTTAAGCAAGAGATACAAGGAGATGTTATTATTTATCCCCTTGGTCATTAGATCAATTCTGTATTGGCAAACCGGTGTCACATGATGTTGGCCCTCCATGAATTCAGTCCCCTGAACCAAAACTCCTTTTGAATGTTAAAGAAGCGATAGCTGCTGAGACATAATATCTATAATAAGTAATTTGATGTAAAGTTATAGAAATGTGTTGATCGTGTTCTTTTTTTCACACTACTGTGGTCGTAATTATACTAACCTCAAACCCATGGTTTATTCTTTCAAGTCCATATTCAATTGGTTCAAGTGACTTTCTGACATTGGCAGCAGTCTCTTCTAATCTCTTGATACTGTCTTGTATATTCCTGACGTAGTTATCGAATGATTGCGTTGCAGCATCTTGGATCTGTTGTCCTTGTTCATGCAGCAGCTGTGTCGTGAAATGGTTATAAGTTACTGTTTTTTAGACTGTTATGCTTATGTTACAGTAGATATTTTTAATTAAAATGCAGTACACTCCATATAGGGTACGCGCCTCTGTCTAGTGGGGTCCCCCTGTCGGGGGAACTACCACCTCCCCCACCCCCGTCGTAATTTCTACATGTAGACTCTAAAATCGATTAAATAAGCCTTTGAAACCCCTAAATTGTCAAAATTTTGGGAAAATCCCTCGTCGGACGCCCGCCCCGTCGGGCAAATCCTGGCGCCCCCCTCCTGTTGTTTACTGAAAAATTATATTTCACCCGATCAGACATATTTACCTCGGCACTGCAACTCATCGACTCTGATATTACGTTGCTATTATGGAATATGTTTGCGATGGGACCATTGAGCAGTAGAGTTAATGTGAACGCTATGAACGCAGCGCGTCCCCTAGAGGTACAGAGGGTTGGTGCCATCAATGCAGCTACACAACGTGCTCGTACTGCGAATAAAATGATATAAAATTAGTGAATTTTATTATTATTGATATTCGAATAATAGCTCATACTGTATAATAAAAACAAACTTTAAACTTAGGTTCACAACACACGCGACAAGTTCCTACGTATCGTGTTCACATGGTAGATACTTTGCTTCAGCCAGAGATGGAAGCAGTTTCCAGCACAATCATAAGGCTACTCTGCCAGGTCCATCAGATGGCATAATAGAAATGATGCGGTAGATGTTGAAGATCTTGCGTGTGGCGGTATTATCGTTATCCAGGGCCGTACGAGGACGCTTCGACTATGACACATGAAATGCCTCCTTGTGTTGTGAACAAAAGTTTAACCTAATATATAATATTATTATTGAAAATAAAACGGCCAGGCATTATTAAAAATTATTACTGACTTAAACCTTAACAGAGATATGTACATTATTATTTTAGTTCATGGTTGGTTCATTTAGTTGTTCTATCGAGCTTTCAAATTGACATTGCTCAAAGGATTATTTAAATAGAAAAAACGCAACATATTGATACTTAAAAATATTGATATTGATATTGATTACTGACTTAAACCTTAACAGAGATATGTACATTATTATTTTAGTTCATGGTTGGTTCATTTAGTTGTTCTATCGAGCTTTCAAATTGACATTGCTCAAAGGATTATTTAAATAGAAAAAACGCAACATATTGATACTTAAAAATATTGATAGTTATCTTAATATAATGTACATTAATTCATTAAATAATCTGTTAACAACAATCTGTGACATCTTGGTAATTATCTACTTATGGCTTCTCATATTATCTCCAAGTTTTTGAGCAACAGATGTACTGCGTTGGAAACAACTATTGCCAACTAAACCTCCATTGGCATGCCATTCTATATATTTCTTCTGAAATGCCAAACAAGTTGTTTGTTTGACATTTTCAAATTGGCCATCGTCCATATAGCTAATTTGAAAATGTAAGTGAAAATCTGTAGGCCTAAGTGTTTTTGTTGGTTTTTTTTTTTGCATGTAGTTCACTTGAAATCAAACTAATTTATAAATTATATTAATAAGCATATCGATATCGTATAGAACGCTGGCCTGTTGATATTTATTGAAAATTAATTTTAATTTCACTTTGAGAAACAAGCAAGTTCTGATAATTAAGGCCCTTTGGGTAGACAAATTAATTATGTATCTCACCGTTACCGGATTTTTCATAACTCTACCGAAGACATTTCGCAGCCCAAACCAGGGGCGGATTTAGGGCCGCCCCCCCTTTTTGGGCGATAAAAAAAAGAAAAAAAAGAAAGAAAAAGAAAAAAATGATAGCCCAGAACGCCTCAAATGTTATTTTCGGGCGTCTAGAACACAAAAATTTCGCGGACCCCCTAGGACATTTTTGTCTCGATCGGCCCAAATTTCGCCCCCCCCCACCTTTTTGGACATCTCTGGATCCGCCCCTGCAAACCTTTGAGTTGCAAAATGCCCGGGTTACAAAATGTCTAAAGCTACAAAAATCCTAGTTTGAAAATTTCTGCCACCGTAGCCCAGCGATACGAATAGGGCGTAGCATATGGAATTTTTCTTCAGGAGAATATTTACACCATAAGCATGAACTACTTCAATTAATACGTCGTGCATAAAGGAAAAAGCAACCAAAGCAGGGCTACTTGGTGGAAACGTTGACTTTCAATCTTGGCAACGTCTCAGAGAACAGACCGCAGAATTAGACTGTACCCTAGTGTTTTTGAGTGATTATGCTTATTTTCTATATTATTAACTTTAATATCAAATTATTATTTAGCCTATATTGTAATTTATCCTTTTGACCAAAATCAAATAATGGTCTGATGTAAGTATTTAAATATATTTTAAATAAAAATGTAACACATTACACACACATTGAATAGTTTATTTCTCTTTAGGACAAGAACCGAAGTAATAACATACCGGTACATGCAAGACTAAGCGCCATTCCGAACGTTGCAACGCCTGTGATGATGCAAGATGTGAAAAAACTATATAACAATCCATAATATAGACCGAGAAACAACACACCACCGAAAATGATCCCAAAACAGAAACCAATGACACCTTTGATGAAGCTCTGTTCGCTGTGTCGTCTGGCAAAACCTGCTGGAATTGGCGTCTTGCTAATGGAGGACTTCTTTTCCGCAACGTTGGCATACTTAGGAGAATCGATTTCAGGCGAACTTGATTTTGTCTTGAAAGAAAAAAAAAATCATATTTCTGAGGCATGACAGTCTTATACTGCAGGTATAACAATTTTGTGGAAACTTACCTACTAATGACTTAACTGGACTTGAATCATGATTATGGTATTCAACACGCGAGTTATATTATATTCACATGAATATGAAATATATAAGGTGTCTATATATGCCTACATATATATATATATATATATATATATATATATATATATATATATATATACATACATACATACCTATATATATATATATATATATATATATATATATATTCTCCAGAAGGTGACTACTTTGACGAATAGATTTTTTATAATAAAACAAAGCACCAGGCTTCAGATCAGGCTTCCTTTCTGTGGGCAGAATGCTAAACACATCCCTATCCGTTGGTTACAGTAATAATTATCCGTATGGTTGTTATAATTTTTACATTAAATTATAAATATAAAGACAAGATAATTATTACATAAACGTATTCATTTCATGAAATAAATTATTTGACAGAAATTTATGTTACCATAAATAACTCAAATGACGTCCTTCTTGGCTACTTCTTGTCTAGACATTGCATTATGACAATCGTAACTGTTATAGATAAGGCTAAGTTATAATTTATTCTCAGTACGTTTTAAAAGAGCGCCAAGAACATATAAAGTGAGAAGGCGCCTATCAGTAAAAGTGATGCCTAACTGTGACTTAAGTACATTTGTACATCCAAAAAGGTTATAATTTTCTTTTTTTACACAAAAATTACATATTAGGCCTACATATTATTACATATTTTTTTCTCTTCTCTTCTTAATAATTTTTAGTCTTCTATCTCAGGCAGCTGCTAAACGTTATGCGATTTGAAATCTGACTGAGAAAAAGTATAAAATATAATGTGGACACTTACAATGGAATCGTAAGATGGAGGATCAGCTGGTGGTGAAGATTGGCACTCGCTGCCTACGTCACAACCTACTCCAGTATTTGCGTATGCTACATCATCATCGTGCCAATGAGCATACGGGTTACCAATGACAAATCCATCAAGGTCTTGATTTGTGGGGGGTGGTGAAGATACTGGTGGTGGAGGCGGCCGTGTTGTCGGCAACGGTGGTCTCCGCGACGGCCTTTGGAATTTTTTTATTGATCTTGGTTTTGGTTTAGGCGGATCTCCAGCATCTCCCATGCTTACTGCGGTGGTTAACTGTTTAACTGAAGGCTTACCAGTAATAAACCGAACTAGAGAAGGAAGAAAACATGGGTTTAGCTGGTTAAGGTGCTGGATGACTTGATTTAGCCAGATTTCTCATTTGACTCATTTAACACTTATCAGATACTTGTTTTTATTGTTAATAGTGATTATGATGGTGGTGGTAACGACGATGATAATAATAATGCTGATGAGAATGATGATAATAAAGATGACGACGTTGACGATAACCGGTGACAATGACAACGATTATAGGATTATGGTTATTCATTCATTTTTCATATATTTACTAACAAAAACATTGATGTTCATCCTAGTTAGTACCATTTTCATGCACACTAATGACACAATGACCATTATTATCTACAATAAAATTAGACAATTCAGGATAATTGTTAGTTAGGCTCCTACTACAAACAAGCCTATATAAAATATCTAACGCGTAAACTATAGCCAAGATAAACATGAGTTACCCTCGCGAAGAATGATTTTTGAATTGCCACTTAGGATGGTTGTCAAAATCAGGAAATGACCCCAAATACAGTCATTCTTGCTTACTAGATGTCCCTTTAAACTTTTCATGAGTTCATATTTCAAATCAAATTTTTCGCAGAAAAACGACGCCGGTTACTGTTATTATCAGGTAATTTACGTGGCATTTTCTTCTACAAGTTCCATAAAATATATTTAGTAATGAATATGCCAGTAAACAACACATTGGGATACTAAATTGCTAAAATTTAAGCACTAATTAGCGTCTGCAAAAATGCCGATATTAGTCCTATTGCCGAAAAGCCTTAAACAACAGTAACACCTTAATGTAAGTTCTAAAACTAGTTATTGTCGGCAACATTATGGCTTACCTTAGTTTTCATCTACGTTCCTATGATTATAATTCTAAAGTTTGTACACTATGCGAGAATGAATCTTTAAAATGGAAGGGCTGTGTTAACTTAGTACGACAGCGTGACTATTCGATGTGATTGGACTAGGGGCTCAGCGTTTTCTTCCGTCATTACAATATATCCGGAAAAATTATATCCCTTCTGAAAATGTCACAGACTCAAATACGTGTCATGTAACCTAACAATAATGACAAATATGGCATGAACTTTGAATTCAATAAGATGCACAATCATATACACACATTGATTAATTTGGGTAGATTGCTTAACATTCCAAAGGAATTATACCATCATTATATAATCTTTGATCTCTCGATATCGAGGGCCATCCAATAATTTTCAATATTTTCAAAAGACTACAAAACATACGCTTTAGGGGGAGGGAGTTGAAAGTGTTGGCATTAAATTATTATTTAATGTACAAAATAGAATGATGATCTCGAAGTGGCACAAATCAACATTTTATTGTTTACTCTTTCAGGGGAGGGAGGGGTCACAGAAAAGAATAGGCCTATGTTTGTACTCTTATGAAAATGATGAACATTATGGATGACCCTTGACAATTCATGACAAAAAAGTAAAATATATTCTGACGTACGCGTACATAACACTGTATGCTTACGTAATATGTCGATAGATATTGTGCAGATTTTCGCATGCTTAATTACTTTTACCTTTTGTTTTCAAAAATTACCTCCTACTCATAATTAAGGAATTGTACTTTCTAAGAAATTAAACTTGGCAGGTAATGCTGATAACTTGGCATAGTCAGTGTTGATAACCCTTCTGAACAACAACATTTTAAGCTTAAATTTAATATAAAATTTACTTTAAACTAGTCTACTCTAATCAGGCTAATTATTAATTATATAATTATAAAATCAATTATGATAATGGTATTGTAATAATAATGCTGATGATATAAAAATAACTGTATTAATAACAGAGTATCAATAATAATAATGAGGATAAATATAATTATGTTGATGAAGATGATGATAATAATGATAATAATAATAATAATAATAATAATAATAATATTAATGATGATGATAATAATAATAATAATATAGTAATAATAACAATGATAATGAAGATGAATATAATTATGTTGAAAAAGATGATGACATTGATGATGATTATAGACTCTGATGATGATGGTGCTTTTTATGCATTATTATCAAACGTATATTATTTATTTATCAATATTTTTGATTGCTGTTTTATATAAAAATAAATTATATCACCAAACCATGAGCATGAGCAATATGTGAAAGAGTATCATAAAAGTAATGGGGAAAATGAATTCTTTGAGATGAGAGGAGAGGTTCCATCTTGTTTAAACAGATGAATAAGCGTCGACTTGTTTTAACATGTTTGAGGCGAACATACGCACACCCCCCGCCCCACACACACCTATATATAATTATATATATATGTATATATAGATTAAAAGGCAAAATACTGAAAAACAACAATGCTGTGGGAAACAATGGCTGGATCTCAGTAGAGATACAAAAATGATAAGCAAAAGCTAAAAAGTAAACGTAAGTAAACAGCCAGAAATAGAACCAGAGCTTTCGGACAACACTAGTCCTTCCTCTTATACACATCTAGATTAATAACATTCTTAAGACATTTGTTTAATGATTCCTGTTACTAGAGCAAACTTGTTTCGGTTAGTACTGTTATATTGCTTTGGTAATTGTTATTGTCATTGTTATTCTTCTTGTTAATCTTTTTATTCTTGGCATTTGTTATTGTCAATATTAATAATCATTATTATTCTTTAAACATTATTTTTAAATATCGATGTTAACAGAAATAATTAATAGGTCTACACAAATTATCTGAATCAATATCAACCTCAATGAACAAATAAAACAACAACTTTGTTTTCTATAATACATTTCACAAATCCGGTTTGGCTAGGTATCGTTGTTATCATGTTCTGGTAAAAAAATATATTCAGTCGAAATAGTATATGGTATATTATAAATAGAGACGTTTAAACTGTAAATAATATAAATAGTTTAATATAACAGCCATTTCATAGGCCGACAAACACAATTTTCTAATTATCAATAATCTATTTGGATGAGATTTTCTTTGATTAGACGTTTAAATGAGAGAATAACTTAAGTGACAAAAGTAGGATTTCACCTCACTGTTTTGGGTTGAAAGCCTGCTATACGCTTGTTGCCCAATGCTGCAATAAAAAATAGTAGTATACATAAAAAGCATACAATTTTCTCCGTTCACTCCGTTAATTATCAAATCATTACCTAATCAAATGGGGACAATTATTTTGCTCTAATTTTAGTAAGCCGTCAACACCATGCTTCGAGAAACAAATGTCAAACTGGGGCTTAATTATGATGAAGTTTCCTGAGGAACGACGCCTGTCAAGAGAGAGCAGCAAACATTGTGAAATAATTAACAACATCCTGCTTTGAAAACCTGCATTCTAGATTGACTCAATACAACTTCCTAACTTCGTACTGTGTTGCGGGAAAATTTCCCGCAACACGGTAAGAAAAAATATACAATTTTGGTTTTGTGTTAATGAATCGGTAAATAGAACATTTCCACTCCGACCTCAATAGTAAGAGTCATCAACATTTTTTTAATGAATTTAGCGCACGGGGCCTTCTTATTCAGAACTGAACTGATGCAAGAAACACCTAAGTTTTTCGACATTTTAGTGATTTTTATATTTTTTTAAACAAAAATACTGGTTTTCATTCAAAAAGCTCTGGCATTTTGCGCTATATAGGGCCCAAACCTAACGTTATTATTATTATAAAGCAAGGGTCAAAACTGTTTTCATAAAAGTTCTGTCTAGTAATGAATTAAATTGATTTTATTCAGAAAAACGCATTAAAGAAATGTTTGTATAACATAATTAACGGATTTGGCAGATTCAAAATTATAAAAACAAAAAATAAAAAAGGAGAAAAAAAACCTTTTATTCAAATTTAAGTCTGAGAGTGCAATTTCCGGTTATCTAGAGGTGTCATAATCATAAATGTTCTTACCTCACTTCCAGCCATGGTGGGGCTAAGGTGGTCCAGATCCCCTATTTGTGAAAGTCACTCCATGGGCGCCTTCTATTTTCCAAGTCCTGGATCCGCCACTGAATGTTATACATTCACACTCTGAGGGCGTGGCTGTTCATTGCAATGCTGTTGAAATTCATGAACCGTTAATGTTCTTTACTGTCTCGAAAAGAAGTCAATGCTTTTTCTTTTTCGAGGCTACTTTTCTAAACTAAAGAGGGGGACTTCAATTCGAGATGGGCTTCTCGAAATTAAGCCCATTGGGCTTTTATTCGAGGTTTTAAGGTATAACATTTAGATTACTTCAAAGTATTGTTAGTATAGTTTGAGTAATACTGTATAAGATAACATCCTTTAACATTTTTATCGGTTTGCCCTTTAATAGTCAAAATGTTGACTGCAAAATCATATATAACTTTACTGTAGATTTCCCGTTTTATTTCTCCTCGAACTGCAGATTTTCTCAACATATAATGAAAGATTTTTTATTGATTTATTAAAATCATTTACTTTTAAAAATATGTAAACTAGAAAATTAAAGTGTCAATGGACCAAATTATTTTTCGTTTTATGTCTTCAATTAAAAACTAATAATATATATTTTAAGAATAAAATTTAAATATTGATTTCCCTCCAATTAAAGACCGCAAAATTTGAACTATGGTTTTCAAGTTCTTTAACAGCTTTGGTCTCTAATTAAAATAATAAAGATTAAGACATTTGTTAAAATGGGGGGGGGGGATTGGGCACAAAAAAGTGGTCTGTATTTGGAGGTGGTCTTTAATGGGAGGGGTCATTAATTAGAGGGAGACCTATTGGTGATAAACCGTCCTAAAGTATGTTATAATGATGATCTCAAGGACGCTAAGACAGCCTAGATCCCAGGGGGCCTAGATGCACCAGTTAGTTCACATTTTGTTTAAACCAATATACCCTCCTTTTTATGAATATTTGAGAATAATGTGTCTACATTTTGTTTTACTGAAAGTATTAGAAAAAGTGATAATAAACTGTATACACAAAAATATATTGATATATTAAAATATGTGTGCCAGATGGAGAGAAAGATATATATCTCAATAGACTTTCATTCTACAGTGAATTATATTTAAATACAGTAATGTTTATAACAATGCACTCTTGGAGGGAGGCGGTGGATTGCTGGTTAAAATGTTTGCCTTCCAATTCAGGATCATTGGTTCAAATTCTGTCTCATAAGCAATCTCTCTCTTTTCTCGTATGGCATTAATGTCGGGAGTCCCAAGTCTCCCGGAAGTCGCGGGAGTCTTCTGGAAATCAGGACAGCCTCCCACATCCCCACAAGCAAGCATAAATCTCCTGAAAAATAACCCATCTTCAAATTGATGGTATTTGCATGTTATTAATGCTCTAGCATCAATTGTCTCAAGAAAGCCAGTGCTGATGAATAATCACCAGGCACAGCAAAATAAAATTAAATAAGTTAAGAAAGCTAATTTAACCTGATCTCCCGGAAGGAATATCTTCAAACTTGGGACCACTCTTAATGTACTGTATTTCAAGTTGGCATTTTTTTTTTTCCCCTAGTTTTAAATACCTGCATGGATTATTAATTTTTTAATCTATACATATATGAACTATAATAGTTCATATATGTATAGATTAAAAAATTCCAAATTCAAAGTTGAATTGAAAGTTTTCATTGAAACGATTGGACATGTCAGTGATCTCTCTGACCTCAGTAAAGGAGGCCCTCGGCAGGATATGATTCACGGTATCACAAGTTCCTGCATCACACCGGTTCTTTTCGCTTTTAGAATTTCTGCTATTTTCACATGTGATTATTAATATTGTTTTACGTGTAACACCCCAAATCGCCAGTCAATCTATTATGTAAAAAATAATGAAACACTTTAGTTATAAATCTATTTATATTTAACTAATATTACTTACAGCATATAGCAACTCAATCATAAAGTCTAGAAATTCTCAACCAACAAGAACTATCTACACGGTGTATTGCAAGCATACATTATTATTATTATTATATTATTATTATAATTAATTAATATTAATTTATTATTATTAATTATTATTTTTATTTATAATACTATTAATAAACAGATTAATGTACAGCAGTATTTGTAAGCATTTGAATGTTCAAAATTGCTGGATGGTTCACTCTACCTGAAATGTAACTTCTTATTCAACTATATTTTGACAAATGACATAAATAAGTTGACTACTGCAGACACAACTTTTGAATATTTAAACATTTAATGCCAATTAATACAACATTATACAACACACCCTTATATTCCTGTTATTTGATTGCCTAATTAATGAATACATTCACTAATGAAAGTATTTTGCACGGCTGAAAACTTTTTCCCAAAATTTGTTCTTCCTTCTGCCAATTTTAGTTCTAGTCAATGAAGTACAAATAAATAAGTTTTGTAAAAATAATAATACACTAAAAATAATAACAATAACCAATTAAAATAATCGTAATTTGAAAACTGATTTCATGTGGCATGAATTAAAATTTAGATTGCACAAATTGTGTTTTTCATACTGTATTCAAATTATTAACACTGGGAATGATTTGTGATTACGTGCAGTGGTTGGTGTATACAATTCTGTGAAAACTTTTAAACTTCCTGTTACCAATAACTTGAACCGTACAACAATGCATATCTGATCGTCATAAGCTGTAAGTTATCACTTGAAAACAACTACAGTAAGATAACTTAGGTGACTTTTATTGCTTTTGCACATCACACCATCTCAAATGTTCACATGTTATTGACATCCCTGAAATGCATAGGTTACCAGGAAGAACCATACTTGCCACCATTCAGCCCACACTATGGTGATTACCGATCACACTTGCCACTTAGACAAAACCATTCAAACCAACTCACATCATTCCAGGACACTGGAACTCAGGTGATCCCGGCCTACTCATATCAAACCAGCCCACTCAGACCAACCACACCCATTCAAACCAGCCTACACAGCAGTAGATCTAACACTCGGTTCAGAGTTCACATCGGGTGAGTTTATAAAGTATTCCAGATCGGGTGAGTTTATATTCCAGATCTGCAGGAAAAACACTGGTAAGATGTATAGCATTTATTCAAATTAGCTCCACCCATCAGGAAGACAGAGAAAAAATAATGAAATGTTCCTATATCTGTGCTCCAGCCATCATTAAAATCATAGGCCACAGGTGGGCAAAGTGCAGCCTGTTGGCAAGGTTTTTGCAGTACGCAGCAACCATATGTGCGGCCTGCCTACCATCTTTGGCTAGAAAAGCCCTTGTTTTTACTGCTTGACACCGATCTTCTTTAAGAAATAACATTAAAACTGAGTATAAAAGCAGTACGTGAAGGTTTTCTGGAAATGTCAAAGTGTGGGTGCAGCCATCAGTGTTAAATTAAAAAATTCACTTTGGCCTCCAATCCATTATTATGACCACCTCTGCTCTAGCCCATACTAAGCCCCATTAAGGTTCTCAGTCCCATTAGGGCTGGAGCACTGGATTAAAACCATAGGCAATTTTCACTCAACTGACGGGCTCAAAACGGTTTACGGGCTCAAAACGGTCTACTTCTTCTGTTTCATTACCATTACTGATCACACATTCCTTGATGAGAAAATCAAAGAGTTTGCGGATCTTGTTGACGTCTATTCGTATCAGGTTGCGGGCATGCTTTAGTTTTAGATAGCCAAGCTTCTGATACTCCGCTTGGAAGATACGTTTATATTCAAAATATGCTTCGGGTATGATTCGTACAGATGCACACATCTAGAAATTAAAAAAAATAAAAAAAACCAAAGATAACAATGAACTCTTCCGTTAAGGCCCACTCCTTGGATATTGTTTTTAAGATACCACAAAAAGACACACATGCATTTGTGGGCCAACATGAGCGTTTGTGGGGCAATAAATGCATTTGTAGGACAACGCATGCATTTGTAGGGCATATGAGTGTAATTCTGGCTTGTTCTGATCAATGGTCAGGTATGATTGACACTTTGGAAAAGTCTATTATATATCTCTGCAATATCTATTAGTAAATTGAACTGATAGATTGCTTTCTATCAACCTTATGGACCATTCATAATTTTCATCATTTTTACAAGAGTACTAAACACAGGAAGAGTTTGAAAGTGTACGCATATGCACTCTTTTAAGAAAAAGGCAAAATAATGACCTTTTAAAATGTCAAAAATCATCATTCTGTTTTGGACTCTTTAAGGAGAGAAAGGGGGTCACTGAAAAGCGCATCTTTTGTTACTCTTGTAAAAATGATGAAAATAATGCATGATCCCCCTTACTTCACGTTCTTTCTCATTCAATCTTTCATATCCAGGAAAATCTAGTAGATTAAGAGGTGGTGCAGCTCGTCTCATTGACGGAATTATTGGAGGAAGCTCTGTGTGTCCTGCTTCACTGAAAATATCAATAATACACAAGAATAAAGTAATCAAGAACATAAAATACTCTTACTAATACTTATATAAGATAAAATAAACTTTAATTATCATTATGAACAAAAACCAATGTATAATTATTTTTAAAGGTTCAACACCCAGAAAATTCTACATGAATTCAAATAAAGTCGTAAGAAACACATGTATATATAGAGGATTGCTTGTGACAGTGTGTGGAGGGGAGGGGGTGGGGGTGGGGATAAGGGAAGGGTTAAAAGGGCCAACATCTTCAATTAAAAAACAGAAACATTTTTTTCCCTTTTTCTACCTAATGTATACAAAAGTATGCCTTATAAATAAATAAATGAATCTAAAGAGGTATGCAACAACATAAACCTAGATGAGCAAATAAAGTGATTGGCAGAAAAGAACATGATGCAGCACACACATGAGTGCCTTCTGACTCTTGTCTTCAAATATTATTGTTTGGCTTTATGTATTTTTCAAAAGTAATCATTTTCTACATATACTACATCAAGTACAAATACATGGCATAACTCAATCATCGAACTGTATTGTTCACATTTAAAGATATTAAATATGATTGAAGCCAGCTAGCACTGATGATTAAGAGATAAGAAAACAAGGCCACTAATTGTAACCTGGATGTCCTCATTATATTCATCATTATATATACACTTGATTCAATACAAAATGTTACATCAGACGCATCATGAATAGCAGGAAACATGAGTGAGTACATTATGTATTCAAGTATTTTTAAACAGTCATCTAAATATAACTTTTTATAGCCGCCTCTTGACTGATTCATACCGTTGGGCATCTGACCTAATCTGTCATGTTCGGTGAATGTATTTGTATAGTCAAGATTATAAATATCTGTATTAGTCTAGTCATAATCATTTCCTTCAGTCTAAATACAGCAGACTTCTGTTTTATGCATGCTTTAACTAGAACAATTCCATCATCTATAAAGAACGTGAATGCATAAGCAAGGGTTGCGCCAGCAGGTGGGCTGGCTCGGCCCAGGCCCATCCAAAGGGGAGACCTGGTTAAGCTGTCGGGGAACCACGGTAAAATCTGCCACGGAAAATTGAAACATGATGGGGTTGAGATGGGTGTGGACTGTCGGGGCATGACGAACCACCTGTCGAGAAAAAGTTGCACACAACCCCTAAGTATAAAGAGCAGCAGTAAGCTTATCAAGTGGTTGAAAGTCTCTGAATCTGGCCACTTGGGCAAGGCGGTTCATCTACATTGCTTTTCACCCTTGAGTTAAATTGAAATACTTTGTGTCATGACCACTGCAGCAATTATTGGAGAGAACCAGATGTGCCATTGAGGAAATTTCCCCGCAGAGGAGAAGCATGGAACCCTCTTTCGACACCACTTAAGGTCATCATTAATTTTCACCATAATTTTCTTATACAATCAGGGTTAATCAATTTATGCTATCCAAAACCATAAAATCTCTCCCCACTGACCTCAAATAAGGGTTTTAATCTTAGACCTGACCAAAGCATTCCTGACCACAAGCTTTTGTTATTTTTAACAATGCCTTCTTCACCAATTTAATTTTCTATATACAAAACGAACAAATGAATGAAAGGCCTTAGGTTCAGACACCCCCTCCCTAGCATTTACAACCCCTTAGCAGAAAACATTTTGGAGCCACCACTGCGGTGATGGCTACATTTTGTGCATGGTTGATATTGGTATTTTGATGAACCATGAAGCCCTGTCAGGCTCATTCCTAAATATGGTCATGATGACATCACATCATGACCACCTACTGTATAGGCACATCATGACTTTATATGGGCAACAGGGGCTTAGCCAGAGAGATGAATTAGGCCATCCAAAATGGAACCCAGTGGGCGTGGCCTGCCAATCGGCTCAGGGCCACGCCCCCTCCCAAACGTAAGAAAAAAAAGAAGAAAATTATGATCTTTAGAGGGCATATAAAAGGGCATAGATTGCGCACAGTTGCGGTATTTCTAGGTTATACAGATGCATCTTCATCTGTGCCTTAGTTTGTGTAAATTCTACTCTAGATCCTTCGAATCGAGAGATGGGCCTAGACCTACTGTAGTTTGTCGACTGATAAATTCAACTTGTGAGGTTAACAACTAATCTTTTTAATTAATTAATTATAACCAGAGAGTTATGAACACCAACAATATTTTGTAGGGAAACCGAATCTCAAGTATTGTATTTGCAGGGCCAAGTGCATGCTTTGTGGGCGACTCAAAACCGTCCATTTCACCGAGTAGGCAATGGTTAAGCCTTACATTTTTGGGAATCCCCACCGAATATTGGTATGAAGACAACGTAGGCCTACATTCAATCAATAAATGTTGTTTTCATGAAATTCTCATTTCAAGATGGCCATCAAGTCAATATCTGACTTACCATAACAATTGATAGGATTCCACAACATATATTTGGCAACACCTACAGTGTTTTAATTATAATAATAATACAATTAAATTATTTAATTAACAATAAAGAAGGTGTTGCCAAAATTTGCCAACCTTGAATGATTCTGGTAACTCAATTAATATTGTTTTGAAACTTGCCTTAATTCCACTGTTTTGACAATTTTGAATGTCCTTGGATTTATGATATTGTTATGCATAATATTATGTTACTTCTTTTTTAACCATTTATTGTATTATTTTAATACCATATATATTATATACCGTATAATATATACCATATTTATTTTTTTTAAAAAACATATATACTCAAATAAACGCTTGCTTAATTCACAGTAAATATGTGAAACTACAACACATAATTATGTCAAATGTGTTATTGCATGATATACTAAAGACTTTTGATCCTACCAGAATAGAATATATAATTCTATTGAAGTAGAACATTAACAGAATGTGTTGAGAATGATGTTGCTTCCATTAGTTTTTTCTACAGTCATTAGGGAGCTTTTATTTGGGGGAAAAAATAAATGCCAGAGGCGTTTATTCGAGGGAGGTATTTATTCTAAATGAGGCTCTGGAGTGGGCATATATTTAAGGGGGCATTTATTCAAAGCAGGGCGTTTATCAAATAAATATGGTCTGTTGTTTGCCCTTTGCAAATGGAGAATGGAGTGCTGTGGATATTAACATGTGGTTTAAATATAATCTGTACAAACTACAGGTACTTACAGAAGGGCAAACCGCTGAAGTAATTGGCAACAGGCTCCCGGATCTTCTGTGCTGTTGAGAACGTGGCTTAGATGATTGGTTCGTTGTTGATTGGATCGCTCACGACGTCGTTTCAACTGATCAAACAATCGTGCACCTGATATTTACGACAATAATGCCACCATCATTAACAGCACGCATCGATTCAAGTTCATTTTATGACAATTAAAAAACCACATTTGGATAATACACAAGGACAAATATAAAAAAAAATGCACATACACTTAAAAAATTGATTATAGAACCAGAGCCTTGCAGGCGTCAACGTTCCTATGCATGATACATGGCTTAAAAAGTATATAGGCCTTATATATATATATATACGTGTATATATACGTACATATATACACATATATATATATATACACATACATATATATACACATATATATATATATACACACATATATATACACGTATAT